CGTGTGTTTTAGCTCAGACACACTGAAGAGTGACACAGTAGTTTTCCCGGCGCCGTTCCCGCCTGCAGATGCTGAACTGATCAGTATTAACGGAACTGATACTTTGAAACGGACCCAGACATTGCCCAACAGTGAGAAGGTAAGACTGTAATGTCATTAATGTTTTCGTTGCAATGTATATACATTCGCCTATTCAGTGTCACCAGTTTGAGTAGATACAGCGCCGGGAGCTGGTCTTACTCTAAATCCACCCAGCAGTATGACGTATTTTAGCTCAGACACACTGAAGAGTGACTTATTGTTTTTTCCAACCAACTTTTCTCCTGCTGATGCGGAATTGATAAGCATTCATGGGGTGATACATTGAAAAGGAACCATACTCTACCCAACAGCAATTAGGTGTGGGAGTAGCATACCTGACAGAACTATTCTTCTGTTTATATTCATTCAGAATTTTTTTCCTCACCAATTTATCTAAACTTCGCTCCAACATTTTCTGTTGTTTTCTACTTTACGGCTTGTTTTGTTATACATATTTTTAACTAGAAAGCAGATATAGGCCTATGCTTAATAACTTAATATCGTCGTGGCCCTTTCTTCTATTTTATTTTGTCATTGGACTATACCAGGAGTGCTAATCAAGATCTCATTTGAGTTTAAGCACCCTTAACCTCGAAGGGCACGGCAGGGAACGGAATATTCGAGCCGTAGTTGGGAAGGGGCCCAACTAGGGCTCACTCACATGCATATCTATGGGCAGTTTGGCAGCGCCGGTTTACCTGAGCATATTTATGGACTCTCTGATGACACGAAGAGATCACGTGATCCATAGCGGAGACTCGAATCCTGGGCCCAGAGGGGTGAGCGAACGGTGCTACCCACTCGGCCACCATGCATCGTTGGTGTAAAACGTTATTTTAAAATGCCAGAATGCAATATTTTTCTACAATCTTAAGGGTTTCTTTTATTCAGTTTGGTCACCTGAGCTTCCTTTAAAGCTTCCAGTTTTTTTTTTTGTTTTTGTGATTTTTTAAATTTGCACACTAAAACCTGCTCTTCTTTCCAGTTATTTAGTGTTGAGTAGTTGCAAACAACTGCAATGGCAGCGACTGCGTCTGCTGTTATATATTATCCTCTTTTACCTTCCTGAGTTTCCTTTTCTTAGTTGCAGTATTTTGTTTTATTATATTACTAGTCTTCCAAGGTAACTGTTTCAGTTAAATATAAGATTTCCATGTCGCACCCTATTTTATCCACATGATGTCGTTGCTGACCGTGAAGTCTGATCCGGGACCCGCCTCTTTCATGGCCAGTCATGTGGGCATGTTGGGCTTGTAGTCGGAATATGCACTACCGTCATTGTGTTATGGCAACACTGGCCGCAGTGGAGGAGTGGAATTAAAATGCTGCACTGATTCTGGCGATTTTGTTTTATTATGAGCGGCTGGATGGTGTAGTAGAATTGTAAGTAGGCGCTTTAAACGATGGATGTCCCACGGCTCGCAAATAGGCCTGTTCGGTGTTGGATTCTCTATTTGATCTTTGTTATAATTTGCGGACTGGCATGGGGGCAGATCGAATATTCCGTCTCCGAGGAAGTAAATCGAGGTACATTTGTCGGAAATATAGCCAAAGATTTGAATATTAACGTCCAGGAAATGGAAGCACGCATGTTTCAGTTGGTTTCAGGACTGCAGACATATTTCAAGGTAAATCTGAAAACGGGAGTTTTGTATGTAAATGACAGAATTGATCGAGAGGATATTTGTCCAAATGCCCGTTCCTGTTCTTTAAACTTGGAGGCGATAATTCAAAATCCTTTGAGTCTGCACCGAGTAGAAATAAATGTATTAGATATAAATGACAATTCGCCTACCTTTCCCGTGAAATGGCAGATTTTGAATATTTCAGAATCAACCCCGTCTGGCACTCGATTTTCTTTAATGAGTGCTTTTGATCCTGATGTGGGTAGTAACTCTGTAAAAACGTACAAGCTTAGTCCGAACGACCACTTTACTCTGGAAATACAAAGAGAGGGAGAGCAGAGTGTATCTGCTGAGTTAGTGCTACAGAAAGCTTTAGACAGAGAGAAACAGGCCATGATCCAGCTCGTACTTACTGCGTTTGACGGAGGAAAACCTCCACGATCCGGGACATTACAGATTACCGTGAACGTGTTGGACAACAATGACAACAGTCCGGTATTTAGCAGCTCGCTTTATAAAGTTCGTGTTGTTGAAAATGCGCCACCAGGGACTAAAATTATATCACTGAATGCGACGGACGCAGACGAAGGAAAAAATGGAGAGGTTTTGTATTTGTTTAATAGACACGGCCAGGAAAAGATTTTGGACACTTTTATGATCCATCCGGACACCGGAGACGTCACCGTGAAAGGTGACATAGATTTCGAAAAGTCTGCATTCTATGAAATTAGAGTGGAAGCTCAAGATAAAGGCCAGTCGCCCATGGTTACACATTGTAAACTGATTGTTGAGGTAACCGACGTCAATGACAACTTACCTCAAATTAGTGTTACTTCTTTGTTGAACACTATCAAGGAAGACTCAAAAATAGGAGCCGCGATAGCCCTCGTTACTGTTACTGATAACGACGGAGGCAGCAATGGAAAATTAAATTGTACATTAAACGGTGCGGTTCCTTTTAAGCTTCAAACATCATATAGCAACTACTATTCTATTATTCTTGATGGACCGCTGGACAGAGAAATTGTTTCTCAGTATAACGTCACCATCACAGCTACAGATGAGGGAACCCCGGCTCTCTCCAGCACCAGCGTCATTACCGTGCACGTTTCTGATGTGAACGACAACGCGCCGCGTTTCCCAGAGCCGCTAATAAATATCTATGTAAAAGAGAACAATCAGATCGGCACCGTTATATATACTGTGTCTGCGGCAGATCCGGATGAAAATGAAAACGCCCGAGTTTCTTACTCGCTCATTGAAGGCTCTTCAGCCAGAGTTCCGCTTTCTAGTGTAATAAACGTTAATTCTGCCAGTGGGGAGATATACAGCTTACAGTCTTTTAACTACGAAGAAGTGAAAACGTTTCAATTTCAAGTTCAGGCCACAGACTCTGGTGAGCCTCCTCTAAGCAGCAACGTGACCGTGAAGGTTTTTATCCTGGATGAGAATGACAACAGTCCTGGGATCCT